GGTCCTAAGTGAGAGCGCACACACTCACAGCATGTTTGGTAACATCAGATCCTGCAACAAGCCCAGCTCCAGTTTACTTTGGTGGTTTGGACGACTCCATCTCACAGCTGCTGTTACAGGCCAACGCATCTATGTGTCGTTTCAGGTTGTAGTGTTACACAACATTTTCAGATCCAATAGAAATAAAATAAGTGTTTGGTAATTCATTCAATTCATTGTCTTTATTTATTACTGGCATCATTGTTTCATTCTGTTACCGAATCTCACAGCAAAGAGGCAACATTGTAGAAATCCATCAGCTTTATTAGCTGCTTCGCTGAAAAACAAATCAACAATGCAAAAACAAAACATCAAACAACAAACTGAGACAGTATCACTTGCTTCATACAACACTTGGGCACATATATGCAGACGTGGCTGTTTTGATCTCGCTCTCTCTCTTCACCAATCAGATCTGGCTGTGGTAGCAGCTTGAAACCCAGGCTGATAGAGGGGCCCAGTCTGGATCGCATCCCAGCATTTTGTAGGCTGCTTTTCCTACAAAGAACAACAAACATTAGCCCGCAAAGCCACAGTGAACAAAGCAGCAAAGCAACGAATTCAATTCAAATTAAGACTTATTTGTAACCTACATCACCAATTATGATAAATGACGTAATAACTACAACAGCAGACTGACCTCTGTGGGAATGCTTGGAGCAGACTGACCTGTGAGCTGCAGCGTTCTGGGACGTTATATTTGCTCTTCGAACGGCTGCAATCCAGGCCGTCCGTCGCCTCTTTGTTACTTCGGAAACTCGGTTTGAACGATTTTTCTTCCGATAACAACGATCTCTTTACCGTCGGCTTCCCGTGGCTGTCATGCGACCGGCTGTTGCAGCTAATAACACAACGGCTTCTTGCCATTTTTTGTTTCTTTTTATCGCTGTGTGACTGTTTTCACGTGAAAGCCTGCGTGCGCTAGTACCGCTTACCACTCGTACCCACAATCCTTTGCGGTTTTACCCCTGAATGACGTCACATCTCTAGACGTGGAAGTAGTGTCGTTACATTAGCATTCAGTTTGAGGGTTACAACAGGAAGTTATATATTTGTTGTTCTCTCGTGACGGGATTATTTACCAAACGACTGATGGGGATTTTTATCCTCCTGTAACTTTGCTGTACAAAGAGCTCAAACCTCCAAAGTTTCAGGAGGAGTGTTGCTGAACTAAAAATCAAGAATGTGGGGCCCTGTTTGGACAGCCCGGCGTGTGCGCCCCACGCAGGGGAAACAAACCGGCACGACGCCTGGCCAGTTTCATGGCTCGAAAGAACTATGAAAAACACTTTTTTCAGTCTTTAGTTTTTTACAGAAATGACACAAAATTCAGTCTCAGGTTAAAGGTGACAGAAACACTGACATCATCCTGATCAAACATGAGTGTGTTTGTTTATTGGCTTTAAACTCTGTTTATGTTCAGCTGTAAGTATAAAAGGCTCCATTTGAAGTTTTTGAGTGTAAACATGGTTTATAACAAAGTTTTTGAAATCTGCATTAAATTGCATTTAAATGACTTTTTGAATTTTACTTTAAGTCCTTCAAGTTTAAATACAAACATCAGTTTGGCTGAACTGTGAAGTACTTTGGGTGCAGCGTATGTTTGTTTAATAAAATTATAACAGAACAGCTTTAATGTTCTGTTTCTTAAACTGGAGCATGAAAAAACAGCGTTATTGACTGTAACTATATCAGGTTCACATCCGTATCAGCAGATATCCAATTTTCTGATATCAGACGTATGTGGTGCCATCTCTGGACTGTGTGCAGGAGATGACTCAGGCTCAGATGGTGCTGGAGAAAATCACTCTGCAGAAATGTCTGCTGTACTTCGAGAGTCTGCACGGCCGGCCGGTGAGTCCTCCCCCACACACACCCAGCAGGATCGAAGCCCCTCGTTTCCAACGCCGTGTTTTTATTCTCCAACTCCACGAGAGGAGCTTATTGACACTTTGTTGTGTCCCAGGGAACGAAGCAGGAGAAGAACCTGGTGAAGCCTCTGTACGACCGCTACCAGATGATCAAACACTTGCTGTGTGCCAGCCCCACCATCAGCACTATCGTAAGACGCACACCTGTCGTGTTTTAACATCAGCAGCAGCGATTTCATACGTGCGAACTAAACAAAGTTTCGTCAGAGAAAAACGGAAACGTGGGGTTTATCGTCCTCCTGCTGCAGCGCCACCTTCAGGACAAACTCACTGTGACAACAGCAGCTTTGAGTTGTTTATGTAGTCGAGATGATTTTACATAAGAGCTAAAGCTTGATGGCGTTTAAGTACAAGGACGCTCTGTTTCTGTCTCAGGAGGAAGAGGATGGTTCTGATGAAGACTGCGTGAGTTCGTTGGCCGTCGATGAGCTTCCTGTCCCGCCGCCGCGCAGACCGGCCCAACCAGCAGCCGGCGAGGAAGACAGCGACCGGGACAGCGACCCGGCCTTCGTGTCGCCGTTAGACGAGGTGAAAGCCGTCCGGCAGCAAGATGCTCTCACCACAGCGAACCTGCACGAAGCCTCCAGGTGGGTGAAAAGTGACGTGCGGCGAGGCTTTGAGCTGTCTGTGACCCGAGCCGGTGCCACAGACGCGTCCGGTGCGTCCCAACGCATCTGACCTTTTACTGTTACACGGCTGCTAACAGGAAGTTTCTACTCAGCAGCTCATGTGACAAACACGCAATAAACACGTCTGAGTGCTCACCTGCAGCTGGTCTGTGCAGCTCCTGCAGCTTGGTGTGACACGATGTTTACGTGGACGTGCTGCGGTCAGACGACAAGTCCTGCAGGCGTAACTGCGCCTGCCAGCCTGCAGCATGGCGCTACTACAGTCTGTATATAAAAGATGGACGCAGCTCCTTCTGAAAAGTCTGCACTCTGTCTAATGACCAGCAGGGGGCGACTCCTCTGCTCAGCTGATCTGAAGCAGAGGAGCGTGATTGGCCATGAAACACCTCGACGGAGCCGCGTCCATCTTTCGTGTGCAGTAAATCGCTCGGCGGCCGGTTTACAGTTTCTGTTCCTGGGTCCAGGTCTCAGCTGCTGGACTGTCTGCGGGAGACCCGGGCCGAGAAGAAGGCGAGGCGGAAAGTCCTGAAGGAGTTCGAGGACGAGTTTTATCGACAGACCGGAAGGTGAGCACCAACTTTACTAACAACAGGAGCTTTTAATGCAGCGGCAGCTGGTTTTATTCGATGATTATACGAGCGACGTGTGCGGGCAGCAACCTCGTTAACTCGCTCCTGTGTTTCCTGTCATTTGTGCTTGTTGGACAGAATCTGCCAGAAAGAGGACCGAACGCCGATGAAGGAGGAGTACCAGGAGTACAAACAGCTGAAAGCCAAACTGCGCCTGCTGGAAGTCCTCCTCAGCAAACAGGAAGTCGCCATGTGAGGAAAACCCGAGTTAAACCGAGCCAGCATCACTTCTCCCAGTCCGGAGGGAAACTCGTGAAACTCGTTTTCCTCACACGTTGAGCTTTTTCATATAAACTGAATGTGCTCGAGTCCAGGTGGAAGCTGTGGCGATAGTGGAGGAAGCTAAAAATCACAAAGTGTGTGTTTGTTAACCATGTGAAACACACTCAGGAAAGCAATAAGATCAACAAACAGCAGCTCGGCGCTGAAACGTGCTCATTGGACACAAACCAGGAGGGCGGAGTTTAGCCGGCGTCACGAGACAAAACATCAGCTGTTTAAAGCGACCGCGTTCTTCTGCTTTATGGTGTTTTGCAGAAACTCCACCTGAAATATTTAATAATCAAATGATTTTATTGATATTAGTGCTGAGCTCAGTGAATTCAACACGTGTTGAAATCAAACAATGGAAAACGACGTCTCTCTGGAGGTTAAATCTAGTCAATCTTTCAGCGTGTCGTCGCGCCTGATCGCACGTCAGAGCTACAAACTGCATGTTCGTCCAGAGGTGGAGGCTGTACAGGTCGACACCACCAGGAGACCCGGAGTCGTTGCTGAACGCGACTTCTTCAATCATTCATGATGAGTTTTAGCACTGAAGCTACCAAAACGTGTTCGGGTTAAGTTCACAGAGTTAAACACGCGCGGCCATTTTTGGTGAGCGCACACTGAATCTTCTCATTTCATTGGTTTCTTTTGTTCTGTCAGTTTCGCTGACATCTGGTGTGTGTTGCCGTGGAGACGGAGGAAATGAAGCGTTTGCGTCACTGAAGCGGGACGTTCAGGCGTCACTCGTGCCGGTGCAGATGTATTTAAGTCAGAGCGCTTTATGCTGAAAAAGGACATTTAAGTTTTTTCAGGTTGCTGTTGTAGCGACGGGTCGCTGCAGGAGTCTGTCGCGGTGCAGGCGCATGCAGGCGCATGCAGGCGGTGCAGGCGGAGCTCCTGTAGAAAAGAGAGCCTGCAGGGCAAGTAGCTGAAAACTGCAGCGCTCTTTAACATCAGAAGAAACCCCACCGTGTGCGTTCGAGGAAACTCTCAGAACAACCGAGCGAAAAGCTTCCTGATGTTTTGCACGTTACACTCTCAGCGTGTCGGCGGCGTTCCCGGGATTTAAGGTCAGTATTCAGAGCAGAATCCAGCCTTTCCAAACACTTCTCCTGAAACGTGAGATGTTCTGTGTTTCCCCGACGTCTCTGGTGAATCGTGTTAATGTTGTCGTTTGAATCTTAAAGCCGGCTGAGGTTGAACCTCCCGCTCTGAACGCTGAGTGCACGTTAGACACACAGGCTCTGCTGTGGTCATCAACTCTGTCCCGTGTTGTGCAAATACTGAATAAATATTTTTGCTACCAACGAGACTCCAAATGTTTGTGTCGGTTTCTCTTTGTCTCTCACAGAGTGATGCAAACCTTCACACAGAACGTTTAAACGCTTTATTTGGATTTCACATATAGTCTGAGTTATTTTTCGGCACATGCAGCCTCTTAAAATCTGATGAGTCCTGGAGGACTTGGCGCTGGATGGTGGTCGGCCGTGTCGTCTCAAACCGCTTCACTCGTAGTAGAAGCTGGCGGTGACCGCGAAGACGTCCGACGAGCCTTCGTACGGCGTTATGACCGGCTGCAGGCCTTTCAGCTCTTTGTAGTGGCCAAAGTGTTTGATCCTGTAGGAGCCCGCCGAGGCCGTCGGGGGAATCTGCCACTCCACTGTGGCGTTGCTCTCCCGGTTTGACCCCTTCAGCCAGTGAAACCTGCAGCAAGACAAGCGACTTTAACTCCTCAAAGGACCCTGAGTTAAAAGAGGAACGTCTGCAACCTCACTTTAGTTTCTGTTTGTATGTTTTGTGATTACAGCTCGTGAAAATCAGAAATCCAGGTTCCAGAAAATTTAGACTTTGTGTTCTTTCAGAGAGGACACTTAACCTACAGGTAGACAAAGGTGCCGGGTCATCTGCTGGTATTGGTACTGGTTGCCGATTCCACCTTCTCACAGTGCCCAATACTATCAAATAGCTTGATGATATTGTTAGTGTTTCTGATTGGTCAGGAAACTCACCTGACCTGAACCCTGCAGACACAATCAGAAAGTCTGGAGTGGACGAGAAACACTCGACCAGCTCCAACCAAAGCAACCCGAGCTTCAGTACCCCGTCAGCAGCACCGCAGGCTGACGAGGTACTCAAACCAAGTACTGAGTGTATAAATACACGTGCTTAAGAGAGGTTGGACATTTCTGTCTGCAAATCCTTTTTTGACCAAAGGAAATATTCTAAAAATCAGGTTTCTGCTGATTTTCATGAGCTGTCGACCTTTTTTTAAAATAAAATGACAGAAGAAGGTTTTTTTGTTGTTTTTAAAATCCTGATCAGATTTTTGAGATGCACAGCTACACATTAATCTACCTGGTCTCCCATGATGCATCGTTGTGGACAACCTCCCAGGTTTCTGTTCTGTTGTCAAAAATCTCAACAGTGACAAAAGTTTTATCCCTCTGCAACAAACGAGAGGAAGAGGTCAGAAAGACGTTTCAAGTATCCTAACAATGCTAAGCTAACAGTGGCTGAAACACTAGGATACAGGTGGATGAAGAAGAAGAGTTCTTACAATATCTCCAGAGTTTCTCGGGTTTCCTGCTACAAACGTGACAGTCACAACATCACCCTGAAAACCACATTCAATATTTAAGACTCATTTTGTCCACATGCACACAGAGCGGCGTCATCAGCGTGGACCCTGAGGAACACAGTAAGAGTGTTTCCTACCTGTCTATAAACGGGGTAAACCTGCTCCAGGACGTCTCCAAAGCTCATATTCTCAGGTTTTCTGTCAAAGAGCGCCAGGGGCACAAAATTAAAGAGGTTCTCTGTGAAGAAGGGAGGCTGAGGGCCGGCTGGCAGCTCTGAGACTCTGTCCTGGAAACATGATTAATGTCAGCAAGCAGTGTTACATAGGATTGGCTTCACACTGCAGTGAGGGTCTGCTGTTGACTGTTTGCATCCGATTGGCCCTGGCTTTATGAAATATTTCTGCTGCAACCTCATTCATTCATTCAGGAGTCTTTATGTGTCACATGCGAGTTATACGAGTACAACACGCAGCGAAATGTGTCCTGACTGATGGAACCTTTTCACTGTTTCATCTGTTTCCACCTCACATGAAGTAAAACATGTTCAGAATATGAGTTTGACGGACGTTTAGCCGTCTGACTTTGGTTCAGTTTCATGTTTTATCTCCATCATCTTTATATTTGGAAAAGATTTTCCTGTGATTTTCTTTTGTATAGAGTAAGTAACATGTAAGCAACGTTACAGAATAATTCCTGTGATGAAATATTCTTCTGCTCGTGTTTCTCTGGCAGAGAGAGAGAGTCGGTCTCACACTGCAGCTCGTTTCAGATAAACTGGTGAAAAATCTGCTGTTTAAACTGAGCTCTGTGGGCTGACCTCGTTTTCTTTCACTAACTGTTCTGAGGGAAACGTGACCCCGTGTTTCCAATGTGCTCATGAATGCTGATGAAAGGTGTAATCCATCCATTCACACCTGAGCAATGGCTCGGGCCAGGCCTCGATACTTCTGCAGGTAGGCACTGAGCGTGTGCGGGCCGTATATGGTTGAAGCGCCTTCATACCGCTGCACCTGAAAAATAGACAATCAGACTAAGTTTCCACCCTGCTAAATGTCCTTTAATATATACACACACACACATATACACTGAACAAAAATATAAACAGCACTTTTGTTTTTGCTCCCATTTTTCATGAGCTGAACTCAAAGATCTGAAACATTTTCTACAAACACAAAGGACCCATGACTCTCAAATGTTGTTCACAGATCTGTCTAAATCTGTGTGAGTGAGAACTTCTCCTTTGCTGAGATCATCCATCCCTCCTCACAGGTGTGTCAAGGCGCTGATTAGACAGCATGAATATTGCACAGGTGTGCCTGAGACTGCCCACAATAACAGGCCACTCTGAAATATGCAGGTTGATCACACAGATGTAGCAAAACCAGTCATCTAATGGAGATGTGTTGCCTGCGTGAGGCAAAAGGTGTGCAATGGGCATGGAGTTGATCGGGTTGTTGATTGTGGGCTGTGGGTCCACTCCTCTTCAACAGTTGTGCAAAGTTGCTGAATATTGACAGGAACTGGAACTCGCTGTCGTATACGCTGAGCGCCCCAAACATGCTCAATGGGTGAGTATGCTGGCCATGCAAGAACTGGGATGTTTTCAGCTTCCAGATGTCCAGATCCTGGCAATATGGGGCCGTGCATTATCACGCTGTAACATGAGGTGATGGTCACGGATAAATGTCACAACAATGGTCCTCAGGATCCACCGCCACCACGGGCCACTCAATCCACAACGTTGACGTCAGCAGACCGCTCATCCACACGAGGCAACACAAGCTGTCTGCCATCTGCCCTGAGCAGTAAAATCATCTGTGAACAGGACACCTCTCCAATGTGCCAGACGCCATCAAATGTGAGCGACACTCGAGTCGGTTACGATGACGAACTGCAGTCAGGTCCGGAGCCCGATGAGGACCACGAGCATGCGGATGAGCTTCCCTGAGACGGTTTCTGACAGTTTTTGCAGAAATTCTTTGGTTATGCAAACCAATTGTTGCTGCAGCTGTCCAGGAGGCTGGTTAGCACTGTTGCCTCACAGCAAGAAGGTCCTGAGTTCAATTCCACGGGCAGGCCAGGCTCTTTCTGTGTGGAGCTTGCATGTTCTCCCCGTGTTTGAGTGGGTTTCTCTTCAGGTACTCCGGCTTCCTCCCACAGTCCAAAGACATGCAGTTTGTGGGGGACAGGCTAAATAGAAACTGCTCATAGGAGTGAATGGTTGTCTGTGTCTATTAATTAGACAATTGATTAAAAATCTACGAACAGATTAATGAAGAATGAAAATAATCGTTACTTCCCTCCCTGCTATGAAACTCATGTTTAGATGTGATGATAATCTGTTGGCATCACAGGAACAGTGTAACCACCACAGGGACACCTTTAAAAGTTTGTAATCATTTACACAGGTTTGCTTTTCACCGTCTTACTAATTTTACTCTGATATTTCATTTAAGTAACTGAGTACTTTCTCCAAATCTGACTGTTTTATGTCCAGTTGATCTTATTTAAACACTGATTTGGATTTTACAATTTAGCAAATGACTCTAAAAACTACAACTATGAAGTTCAGCAGATGTGTACCTGGTACTCTTCATAGGTGGTGATGTAGTGAGTGTACACGTTACTGAGGCCGGCAATCACCACCTCCATGTCCTTTAGAGTTCCCTCTGACTCCAGCTCCTGGCTCACAGTAACAACAACACAGTAAACACACAGTTATAATCCGACATGGGCAGCGTTACTGTAATCCGATTACTTTTTTCAAGTAACGAGTAAAGTAAGG